TGAATTAAAATATATTCATTTATTAATGAATTAGTTGTTGGTATTAATATTTCTTTTATTATTACTATTTTTTTAAAAATAACAACTTCAGCAGCGCTATATTTATTATTTTTAATATCTCTGATATCCTGGAAATAGTTAATGTACATTATTTGATCGTTTGTAATATTTACAATTCGTTTGTATAGAAATAAATAAATATTCACTAATTGAAGTAAGTAATATTTCAAACAAACATTTTCGATAAATTAATAAATAATATTAAATTGTTATATGAAATGTGATTCCCATAAAAACAATAATTTATCAAAATATGATACTTCATTTATAATTCTTAAAAATATTAATTATTAATTAGAATTTCAATGTAATAATCAAATTATTTACTCAATTTTTCAATTAAATTTCTAAAATTATGATACTATAAAAACAAAAAATAACAAACTTAAGGATAATCTTCTTTAGATTAAATCTATCTCCTACGAAAAAGAAAGTTTAAAATTATATTATGACTTACAAAACTATATTTATTTAATGTAACTAAATAACTGTTATATATTTTTTTATTTCTTAAACTGATTCCTGCATGTAGAAGTTAACTATCACAAATCAGATTTTTTTTAAAAATTGCTTATTTCTTCAATGGTTTGATATGCAATAGTTTACATTACAGATTACATATTGAGAACTATTTACCACTATATGATACTCTTCATGTCCATCAATTGGCTCATTCACCACGTGTTTAATAGTATTCATCGCTATTTTTTGAGTTCTTTCTTTGGTACCAATCCATAGTTGATCTAATTCCAATTTAAATGTCAGTCTTACTTTTCCTCCATGCTTATTAAGCATACCACTTAAAGGATGTGGAGGTAATGGATCCTAAATTAATATTAAATTTCAATTAAAATGTTTTTTTCATAAAGTATACAAATATGAAGAAATAAAATTTTTTTTTTATTACTAACCTTTACATTTAAAATTCCAACCATGACATCTTCTGGAATACCTCTTTCTAGTATTTTATAATGTAACTTTTTCTTACATAAAGGTTCTTTGGTAGAGGTACTAGCACTATCTGAACTAGATTCCTAGAGAAATGGGACAATTATGAAAATTAAAAATATACACTAATGTTATATCAAATTAACAAACTTCAGGAGACACTACAGAAACAGCAACTATATCCTGAAGCTTAGCACCAACAACCATGATTTTGGTAGCTGTATTGACATTTAAAGATTCTAAAGTTTGATCATCTTTAGCCAACCCCTTAATCATGATTTTTTGCATTTTACTTGGTACACCAATTATATCAACTAGCTTGTTTTTAAGTTGACCTATAGTTGCTGAAAATGGCATAGTTACTAAATATTTATCTTTATTGTGTATTATTGTCAGCTCTACTGTTGCAGCTGTTTCATCACAAATANGCTCTACTGTTGCAGCTGTTTCATCACAAATATCTAAATTAGCATCCTTTTTTATCTCACAATCATCGACCAAAATTGGCTTTTCACTAGTTACTTCGTGAATATTTTCTTTTTCTAAAATTAGAAAAATTTAAATGTATTTATAAAAACTGAAAATGATTTATGATTCATGTTTACCAGGCGATTCCATTTTTAATCAAACTATCAACTATAATAAATTCGATAATTAATTAGAAAAGTAAAACATCTAGCTTACTGAACTGATTTATTTTTGTGATATTAAATTCATTTGCTCAAGTTAAAAAATAGGACTCGAAAATACGATACGATAATCCTATTTTATTGAACAAAAACACACAAGTAAAAATATACATTTACTATTCTTACTGTATCACTAGAAAAATGTTGTCTGTTATCATCATCATCATCTGTACTTATCATAAAATATGATTTCCATGTGCAGTGTAGTAATTTTGAAAGAGTTATTATTTTTATTATATTTTAATTCAATGAAAGCATGCATCTATTTTAACTTTTAACAAGATAACTAGATTTAAATTTTTAGGCTAACTGAAAGTTTTGTTATTTTAGTGAAACAAAAGAGCTTTCATCTTGTCGTTCTTGCTAGTCCGATCACTAGGGAGATCTAAAACAGATAAAACATTTTTTTTTTTAAACATTGGTTTTAAAATAAAATTTTAAATATATATATTTAAGTCATTCCAAACCGATTAAAATTAAAAACTTAAAAAAAGAAAATAATTAATTAATTTTTAAATATATAATTCAGTCAACTTGATAATTAACATTTTTTAAACAAATGTTTATGTAGTTAAATAAATGTAATTATTAGATCATAAAGTATAAAAATAATAAATGTAATATTTAAATAATTATTTTTCGATGTAATAGGAATTGTAGTTGATCTTCGCAATGAGTTATTTTGTTATCTAGTTTTTAAATCGCCGTACAATTTATTTTAACGACATCATGTGTAACACTAAAATCTCTAATATATTTTTGGCTTTTAAACAATGTTTATTATAATATTTTTACTGACTAACATCAGATTTACAAAATTATTTTACACGACAAATGTTTTAAATGTTAATTTTGATTGTAAAATCATGAAGTTGCAAATTTTTTACATAATTTTGATTTATTTTTGGTATTACTATACGAGTTTTAGGAGTAGGTTTTTTTATCATAACACTCACAATTTTACATTTTATTTCCTGGGAAAAAATATTCGTCAAATAAATGAAATAACATGATTATTTAATTAAAGGAAGTCGGTCTCGCCGAAACGTGTGTTTCGGCAAACGGAGTCCGATTCCAACGAAATTTTTTTTGTATGATTCTCATTGGCGGTGTCTGATCTTTGGCGCAAAACGGCCACAATATCCGTCCCGTCCATCATTTCCTTAGCGAAGAACCTTCTTTGACTCTCTAACATGTGATTAAGGGCCCCACCGCCCTCATGTTAAGTTCGAGAAATAGATTGAAGTACAATTGATCATTTGTTCACTCACTAACAATATTACGAATATTACGAAAAAAATATTGTATCATTATTGTGTATACACATATATATTTAAATAAATTAACTACAAAAAATCGAAGATAGTCTGTTCCTAAATAAGTTGTAATGAAGTTCTTTTTATCATTCAAAGAATTAAATTGAAAGTATTTGACTATACACATTATATTACTAATAAATGTGTATTTATAAATACTGAGTTTTTTCAATACTAGCTCACCTAATCTTGTAAAAATACACGATAACAGCTAAATAAAGTTCAAATGATTTTAATTATTTATTTTTAAAACTACAGAATTTAACAGCATTTCAGTGGCGTGGCGACGACATTGAAAAATGTTAAAAATGATATTTTTTATAAATTTCATTGTTTTAATAATTATAACATTAGAAAATTTGTAATACACGTTATAAATATAAATTATGTTTAATTAAAATAGGTTTATACAAGATGTTTCAATTATCATAAACCAATAAATAAATAAAAAATAAAAATATCATTGTGAACTTTTTAACATTATTTTAGCTTCGATGGGAAGCTGAGAAGGTATTGGTTTTACTATGAATTTTTTTTTTTTTTTGTGTGTCTGTTACCACTTTTTCTTAGCTCTCACCGAACTTTCAATGATACGTCAAAAGATCACAAATTGTATCTAGTCGAAGACATTACCCTCAAAAATAGAAAAAATGTCCCTCGTTCCCTCTAAATGGGGGAATCCTCCAAAAAAATTACAACTTTAAAAATCGCTAATTTTCGAATTTTTTTCAATTTTTTTTTCTTAAAACTGTCAGAACTTTTTCAACTTAATTTTTTTTAAATGTTTCGAAAATACCGACACTTATATATATATATCTTAAATTAAAGCTAATGTAAAGTAATTTATTATGAAAAAAAAATTTCAGACTTAATTTTTTTTTCATGGTGAAAACGGACATCAAAGTTAATAAAAAAAAATACGATATGTAAAAAATTACAATATTTAATTATTAAATACAAATTTCATACAATATTTAATTGCTATAATAAATATTTATTCATTTATTAGACTTATAAATCATAACATTTTTAATCAGGATATAAATAAGAAAATAGGAGATCATGTAGCTTTTGGAATAATCCACCAATTTTTTAAATTTAAACATTATCTACAGATTTGCATCGAAGCATTTTTTATGATAGTGATTTTAATCACTGTCCAATTAAATCTATACTGGAACCAACTAAGCTACGTCCCCACTGTGCTGTTTTTTTTTTAATATTTATGTTAACTATTTTTTTGTCTCGTGTACATTTAATATCACTGTATTGAATGATACAATTATATTTCCCTGTAGCAAATCATAATGATATTAATGTTTTTTGGATTTTGCTATATTTATACTTTATTTATAGTAAGTATTTTTGCTTGCCTTTATTTTTAGATTTATTATGCTACTAAATGAAAGATTATCAGAACAAACCAATAACTTATTTAAGTTATTTGAAATTTTTGACTATTATAGTCCAAATTTTTTTAATTCTAAGAGTCTTTATTTAAAAAAATTTATAAATCATTATAGTTATTTTAAATTTAATGAAATTCAAATTGCTTCTGAGTTTCCATCAGCAAAAGCACTATTTCATGACTAGCTTGAAGTCAATATAGATACTATAGCAATATGCCTGAAAGATTTTCCTATTTCTTTTGCTGTAATATAAAAAATTATTGCATTGGTCAAAACTTTACCAATTACAAAAGCATCAAATGAAAGTTTTTTACATAGCTCAAACATTTTAAGTCATATTTACGTACTAACATGGGCGATAAAATATTAAATGGTACTTAATGTTAAAAAAGAAGAAGTTAACAATATAAATTTAGAAAAAGCTGTGGATGTATTTACTACATTAAAAAATCGCCGGTATCCGCTTATGTAAAATATAATGAACTTTTTTTATTCAGAACTCTGCTTGTACAAAAGTTATAAATTAAGTATAAATGTAAATTTTATGTAATTTTTTCTTTTTTCTTGTATTTGTCATATTTTAACTTTTTATGCATTATTTAATGGTTTTCAATCACTGGTAAATAATCAATTATTTATTCTATTTAGCTTTTAAATTGCTGATTGCGATTCATAATCTAAGGAAAAATTAAAAAAGAATAATTTACTTAAGTAGATATATCTATTTTAAATATTATATTATATATATATTATTATATTATTATATATATTATATTTTGCAATGAGTTATTTATATTTGTAGTATTACAAGGTTAGATATACATTGTATAAATAAATAATTTAAAATTTTTAAAAAAAATACAATAATAAGTCATTGAAAATACATTTTTTAATATTGATCAATATTTTGTCAACGTTATTTAAACTTAAAAATAATAATGATAGCATAATGAATTTTCATCTTTAATGACGGTAATATTTTAATATTTTGTAACGTGACAAAAAACACTCCTCATTAATTTTGTAAATTTGTAAATTTTATTAAAAATTATACTTTTGTTGAGCCGACTGCATATTGCGACGGCATTTTTTGTCTACAGTACTAAGATATAAGTATATAAGTGTTGTGATTTGTTTGGGCACGTGAGAGATGGTTAGCGGTGTACTACTTCGGACGGCATTTATGTGTACACTCATCCCGCTCTTTTCCTATCTTTATTATCTTTATATTTAACATCATTTGTATTACTTACATTGCTAACTTATGATAAATCTTCTTCTTTTACCTCGCCTACTTAACTGTCTGAAACCAATTGCTTACTTAGGGCGTATACACGCAATGCTTTAGCGGTTTTGTCATGCTTGATGACCGGCGGGTATTGTTTGTCTCTTCAAAAATCATCTTCCTCTAGTTTATAAGATACAGGCATTGTATAAGGGCATCCCCTTTCATCATTTTCATCAAAGTTGAGGCTTTGTCTCAACTTGTCACACGGTTTTAGTGTACATAAAATATCAACGAGCATAAATTTCAGCTTTAATTAACTAATAAGTATGCAGTTATCTCTAAATTTAATATTTTTATAGCATGGTTAATTATAAAAAACATTTTCTTTAATATTTAGTAGTAGCTTATTTTAGTTATGGCCCTAGAAATGAATAATCTAATTTTTCCTATTCTTGTAATACTAAAAATATCGAATTTATTTTTTATTTTTTAAAACCATTGAAAAACAAAAATATTCCTCTGAATAATAATATAAGCTTTGGGTTTTGTTAGGGGCTTGTTTAATAGTTGAGGATCTTGGTCAAAACCAAGAATCGGAAGCTACCCGACGTCTGCCCAAATATCGTCCCTATCTCCTTAAATGAGTTTTAATTGCCTGAAAGAGATACAGGCAATCGTGTACCTTAGTTACAGAGGATAGATTATTAAATAAAATTAGACTATTGTTTTATGTCAACGACAAAGTAAAGTTATATTTTAGATGTTTAGTAAAAATAAGTTATATGTAATGTACAATACGTCTGACCTGAATCCTAGTACAGTTGGTTAGTAGGTATATCCAAGTGAGACGGAGTTGGTTGGCTATGATGACAATTGGCGATAGACGGGTCGTTGAATAAAACAAGTTAAGTTATAAATAATATAAATAAGACGTAAGTAATAATATTGAAAACTATGTCTATAACGGCCACTCAAACACAACTGCCCTTTGTTAGTTCGACGTCAGTAGCTCCGGACTACAGACGAATAGAATTGTCACATCAGCATCTCCCTCTATGCTAATTAATATGTATTACGAATTAAATAAATAGAAATAAAACGTGTGTAATATAAGTGGTAAGAACATAGTAATAAATGTTCTTACAGTATAATGGATGCATTTG